CATCCAATAGCTGACTATTCCACAATGTACAAGTTATGCTTTTGTTTAAGTGCACTGACCATTTCACTTCTTTATAGCTTTTAATTGAGCCTTCTACATTTTCTTAATATAGTGAAGTCATATTGTAGCATATTCATTAGCTATATTTCCAAGCAAGATAAGAAAACAACCTCAATATGTGAAGAAAGACAGTTGTGAGGATTTTAAAAAACATTATAAAGGAAGTGGCCTTCCATGAATAGCAAATATCGAAAGATTACAAAAAAAGGCTTCCCATTAGAGTTTTTCAACTTGTACAATTTTGTAAAATGTTGCTTCCCTCCACAGAAGGCTGGAAACAGACTTAGCTTTATGTGCAACTGTTTTCACTAGTAGTAGTCTAAAGGTGTTTAAATGAGTAATCAATCCATATTAATTTATGCTGTTTTTGTTTACTTACATGACTCAATAGATACAAACCTATTACCTCCTCATAGTATGTATTATGGGCTTGTTCATGCTTGTAAAAAATGTTCCTATGTGACTCTATGAAAAGCGAATTTACCAAGCCAGAACAACTCTATAACCTTCTAAAGTCAAGAGGATATTTCCTTCCAAGTTCTAACTGTTAAATAGCTCTGAGTCTTAGGATACAAAAGGTCAGTATCAGATCCCTTCACCATCTCAAAACATATTGAACAGTACTTTTGTGTAAAAACCAACAATTAATTTAACCAGAAGACACAAAGGGCTGCTGATGCTTTGAAATAACCCATCCCCTTATGACCTCTACTCAGAACACACTTCAGATATGGCATCACAGCTCAGATATCTGTACCAAAAACTTTTGCAGTATGTCTTCTCTCACTACCACCATTAAGTGCAGGAGTAAGGAACTTCTGTGCCTTTGGGCAGATGAACTACAATTTCCATTGACTCTTCTCACTGGTGAAGCTGGCTAGGGCTTATGAAAATTTGAGTCCAACATATTTTGGGGACCACAGCAAGTAGTGATTTAGTTATCGTTAACAGACCTATGCAACACAAGGCTTTTCCAGACCCAAAGCATATCAAGTTCAATATCCTGTTTCCCACTTCAGCATGCCACTGACTATAATTTGAAGAGAGAAACAACACAGAAGCTAGAATGTGGCCCTCATTGTCCCGCTTGCTAGCTTCCTATTGGCATCTGGTTGGCCACTGTGATAAACAGGATTACTGAACTAGATAGACATTTGATCCAGCAGGGCTCTTTGTACTTGTTAAAAGAAATTTCAATCCAAAGATTTGCTTGTCCTCTCACAAAAATGGTGCAGGTTCCACATAATGTACTTCTATCGAAAGCCTCGTGGTGCAGTGGTTAAACTGCAGTATTGCAGCCAAACCTCTGCTCACGACCCAAGTTCATCCCCAGGTAGCTGGCTGGAGGTTGACTCATGTTTACATCTTTCCCTGGTCAGTAAACTGAGTACCCAGCTTGCTGGGAGGAGGCAATGTGTCCTTGTCAAGGAGAAGGGAGGGGGAAAATATTTTAAATAAATAAATTGTAAACCATGCTTTAAGTGGGAAGGTATATAAGCAGCATCACAATAATCCAAGTTTATGCACCAACCTCCATTGCTGAGGAGACTGAAATTGAACAATTTTATGAAGATTTACAACACCTTCTAGAACTGACACCGAAGAAGGATGTTCTTCTCATTCTGGGGGACTGCAATGCTAAGGTAGGGAGTCAAGAGATAAAAGGAACAACAGGGAAGTTTGGCCTTGGAGTTCAAAACGAAGCAGGGCAAAGGCTAATAGAGTTTTGTCAAGAGAACAAGCTGGTCATCACAAACACCCTTTTCCAACAACACAAGAGGCGACTCTACACATGGAAATCACCAGATGGGCAACATCGAAATCAAAAGGAAATATGCAATACTATACACACAAATATATGTCAGGCAGAGCAGACTGTCCGTGTGTTAAATTAAGTTAGTTGTTATCTTTCTCATTGCAAGCAGGAGAGCAGAATGTGGTTGGGACTGGCTTGAAAATTGGAACAGAGGAGAGAGCAAAATAGAGCAGGGAAGGAACAATTTCAGCCGAACGTGGGCAGGGAGTCTCGGGGTGGCCCTGTGCATCTGAGAGCCCCCGGCAACAAACCTCCTCACCATATGGGGATGCCAATATTGGCATGAACTTTTCAAAACTGCAAAAATAAAATAAAATCAGAAAGATCAAGAGCCACCCCAGAATGACCAGAGGCAACACATCTGTGTGGATGTGCCCTTAAGCAGCAGCGCCAAATGAGCTGAACAGCCTTTGGCATCTTTTCACTTGAAACATTTCCTTGGCTAGGTTTTCTGTACAGTACTGTACTTGTTTTCAGGTCCTCTGATTATGCCTGCTGAGCAGATCCTGAGCAACTGGCTCCCCCTGAAGGCTGAAGCTGGAACAGCAGGCATCTCATCAGACTCAAAAAAAAAGATAAAAACAAAACCCAATCAAAATATTTTGCTACAATTGACCAGAAAGATTGCTGATCCTCAAACACAACCTAATAACCTTCACCCTTTATGTTGCAGTTTATTGCCCAAAATAAAAGTGTTATGTGCTCACGAATACCTTACTCCAGCTTTACAGAGAAGTCTTTTGAATCAAAGAAATCTTTGTAGTCCCAGCCACCTTAGCAGTTTCATCGGTTAGACATTTCTCCAGTGGTTAGAGATGTCACTGGTATACAGTAGGACCACAGTATCTGTGGGGGATCAGTTCCACCCCTACCCCCTACAGTTGCTGAAAAGCACAGGTATAGAAATGCTATATACTGGTTTCGTAGTCTCTGGTTTCATACAATGGCCAGTTCTGGTAATACACATTGGAGCCATGTATTTCAGAGGGTGGGTGTTAATATTTTCAGGCAGTAGGGAAGTGAAGCCATGTGTACTGATACTGCAGTCCTATTGTATAGCGAAACTAGAGAGAGCAAGATCTTAACTTTCTTTTGGGGGAAAGGAGATAAAAGATAACATACCTACTTCCTGTTGTCAAGTTTTTCTTCACTGAAATGAATGAAGTCAACTGTATAGTATTGGCTAGATTAGACTTGGCCATTAAAATTTTCCCTATAAGTTCACAGTAAGGTATGAAAGTATAGGGGAAAAGGTAAGAAAAGTTGTTGAGAAGTGATAGCATAAGGAGACTTTGGCCAGTATCCAGTTTGTTGCCACATAATGTAAAGTTATGCAGGTATAGCTTTGCTGTGCATTATACCCAGGGAATGCAGATATGCAGTCAGTCACATAGTTCCTTGTAATGAGGGTGAAAGACGAGAGTGCAAAAAACGGTCTGAAACTCAACATCAAAAAAACTAAGATCATGGCCACTGGTCCCATCACCTCCTGGGAAATAGAAGGGGAAGATATGGAGGCAGTGACAGATTTTACTTTCTTGGGCTCCATGATCACTGCAGATGGAGACAGCAGCCCCGAAATTAAAAGACGCCTGCTTCTTGGGAGGAAAGGAATGACAAACCTTGACAGCATCTTAAAAAGCAGAGACATCACCTTGCCAACAAAAGTCCGAATAGTCAAAGCTATGGTTTTTCCTGTAGTGTTGTATGGAAGTGAGAGCTGGATCATAAAGAAAGCTGACCGCCGAAGAATTGATGCCTTTGAATTGTGGTGCTGGAGGAGACTCTTGAGAGTTCCCTGGACTGCAAAGAGAACAAACCTATCAATTCTAAAGGAAATCAACCCCGAGTGCTCATTGGAAGGACAGATCCTGAAGCTGAGGCTCCAGTACTTTGGCCATCTCATGAGAAGAGAAGACTCCTTGGAAAAGACTTTGATGTTGGGAAAGTGTGAAGGCAAGAGGAGAAGGGGTCGACCAAGGATGAGATGGTTGGACAGTGTCATCGAAGCAACCAACATGAATTTGACACAACTCCGGGAGGCGGTGGAAGATAGGAGGGCCTGGCGTGCTCTGGTCCATGGGGTCACGAAGAGTCGGACATGACTAAACGACTGAACAAAACAAAAAACAAATATAAGCAGCATACATGTGAAATCATGTTAACGATGAATAACATGGAACATTAAAAAAAAGAGAAAGAAAAAAGAAAACAATGTCCTTACAGGTATCTCCTGTAAATGGGTCTGATGACTTTTCGGCAATCATCTATTTACTACACACCGTTATCTTAGTACAATTTCTGTCCCTGGCAACTGCAAAAGGAAATTCTAATTTGGATTGGCAACTTCCAATGCTTAATTAAGTTTCTTTTTAAATAAAAGCCAAGAACAAAGGCCATGTCCATGAATGCTCTTCTTGCTTCCTTCCACAAAGGCTGCCTCCTGTAATTCTACTGTGGTTCATTTAAAAACAAGAAGGGGGCACATTGGCCTGATTCTCTTTCCTGGCTTAAAAATACATTTTAATTAACTTGAGATAATTAAATCTGACTTGACCCTATGTTACTTCCTTACTCTCAGCTAAGTTCAATCATGTACTGCTATTAAGAGCTGAACTTTGAATCCTGAGCAAGCAAGAAAGGTTTTCTTGGCAATTATTTTTACCTATGAAAGAAAACCAGGCTACAAATGAAGACCAACCATGGGCACTATTAGCCACCTCCAGGTCAGAAGGCAGATGGCTCTGTAAAGCAGCTGCTGGGTAAGGTCTTATTTCCTTCATGTTCTGCATTCGGCTTGCACAGGCATCTGATTGTCCACTGTAAGAAGCATGGCACTGGACTAGATAGACTGTTGGTCGATCCATCAAGGCCTTACAAAGGAACACGCCCTCACAAAACATTCTACATCAAATACGGAGAGTAATAATTTAACACACACTTCAATTAGAAATTACTTTCTACTTGAGTTGGAAAGTGAAGTACATGTTTAATATTTACAGGCTTTTATTTTTCAATTGAGGACTCCTCTCTGCAAACAGTTCAAAAGAATGTCAGGTATATATGTATATGGCAGCAAAGATAACAGTACACATGATAAAACAGTATTATATTTGTTACCTACCAAATCCTGGAATGCCTTTGAGACTAGATTTGAGACATATTTTTTCAAGTCTGAGGTAGCTATATCTCAGGAGGCAATTCCATAGAAACATCCAGTCCATTCGTGTTCGATGGTTCATAACAATGACACTTCTTTCTCCAGGGATAAATCCATCACCTGTTATAACCACCTTTGAGCCAAACACGATCTCCAGTAAAGCCTCCAAGAAAGAATAAGAATGTATTACAATCAATGACTCTGCAAATGTTTTAAATATAATTAACAGACAGAATCAGGGAGACACGAATTATCTGTTTCAAGTCTGCAAAATCTCTTAGACTATACCAGACATCATAATCTGAATGCAAATTTCACTTGATTCCTCCATCATTAGCTTTCCTCACATGGAAAGGAACAAGTTCCAAAATTAGATATCCCTGTACATGTGCATCTTTTTCATGTGTCTGAAATCTTCCAAGGGTTGTCAATCATGCGGGAAGTCTCTATGCATACTTGAACCTCTGATTTCCAGACTTGTCACTTTCTATGTCACAATCAAAACAGAAGGGTCAAGACTAACATACTCCCTTCTTTGCATGTTGCAGCAACATTTAATGCCTGAACAAGGCTATAATTTGCCCACCCTAACAAACCTGGCATTTCCCACTTCGGTTACTTATTTTTCATGTAGTAAGGAAAGGAGAGATTCCCAGTGAGGTTCACACAGATGCCACGTTCTTTCATGCTTCCCTCTTTTATTTAAGCTTTCTTTGACCCACTGTATAAAATGACCTGATCTTCAAGGTTTGCAGAAAAATGAAATGGAAAGCTGTTCCTATCTGTAGATAAGAAAAAGTTTAAAAGCCAAAAATATTTGTCTTCCAAAAGATTAGATATTTGCACAGGGGGTGGGGGTGGGTGGGTGAGGGAGGACCCACAGCCTGAACATAGTATGGTACGAGAGCAAAATTTTCTGAAGAAGTCTCTCTCCCTAGGTGCAGGAAATGGAATGAGACATTATGTATGCCTCACAGTCTACAGTGGTGCCTCGCAGAACGGGTGACTCGTAGAGCAATGAATTCGCTCTACGAGGCCGTTTTTGCGATCGCAAAACGGTGCCTGTATAGGCGGGAAATCGCAGAGCGGAGGTCGGTAAGCTGCTCGCTTACCGACCTTCGCTTTGCGACCCGACAATCAGCTGTTCCGCGGCTTCAAAGGCAGCGTTTTCGCACCTCCCCCTTGCTTACCAAGGGCGCGAAAACGCTGCGCCCCGGCCCCTGTCGGCTGTTCCGGCGGCCATTTTGGACCCGCCGGACAGCTGATTGCAGCCAATTTTGCGCCCTCGTTCTGCAAGGGGAGGGCGCGAAAATGGCTGCCGGCATCGCTGTACGGTAAGTAAACATGCCGATTGGAACGCATTAAACGTAGTTTAATGCGTTTCAATGGCTTTTTTACTTCCGTACAGCGATGTTTCACACAGCGAGGGTTAATTCGGAACAGATTAACCTCGCTGCGCGTGGCACCACTGTATATGTAGGGAAACTGGGTAAAATGAAAAGAATTGCCTAGCTTGGGGGGGGGGGGGGGGGGAAAGCAAGATCAACAGAAAAGGTCTTCTTCCCATTGCAGGAATAACATGAGTTCCACTCCTCCATCTTAAAGCTGTTTTTTAAAATCTCAGATCCCACAGTATATAGATGTATACAGCAAGAAAAGGTTGCTGTTGCTGTTTGTTTGTTTAAATCTATCTCCCACCCTGGCCTCACATTGTGAGAATGGAGCACGTGATGTACAGTTCAATGCTGTGATGAAATCCAAAAGCAACTTTGCTGGTAGATGATGACTGGGCAAAAGTGTGGGTTTGACTTCGAAACTGTTAGAGGAAACCACAGAAAATGGGAACCTAGAGCAATAAGAGGATGAGGAAAGAAGAAGATGAAGAAGATGATGAAGAAGAAGAAGAAGAAGAAGAAGAAGATGATGATGATGATGAAGAAGACTAGTATATGAAAAAGATGAAAATGAAAAAAGCAGCCCCCTGAACTGCAAAGCAAAGCAAAACAAAAAACAAAATTGAAGGTTTTTGCTACGCACATCAATGCTCACTTTATTACACTGACTGATCCTGAGCTTTTTCGTCAAGGACCTATTAGGTCTGTTGCCCTCCCATATAACTTCACTGCTCTGTATTTTTATTGTACGGTTATTACTTTTGCACTTATAAAAATGTTGTATCTCACCCATTTTAAAAATTGCTATATAGATAAAAAGTACATAGACCCTAGAGTATATGGATGAAGAAAATGATTCAGCTTCCAATCATAAAGCAAATTGTTTTCTTTCAGGCTAAGCAATCACAGTTCTATTATGAGGATAACTAAACATGCATTATCGTGAAACCCTTTGGGAAAAGTTGGGGAACAAAGATAATGCCTAAAAACAGCAGAGTATAATGACAGGATACAGGGCATAGAAAACCAACCTAAACCACTATGCAATCAAAGCACCCAATAAACCTCTTGAGATACTTTTCTTTCTGAACTATCCAAAAGGAAAGAAAAATCTTCTAACCCCAAATAAGTCTTAGTGTGTAAAAATATGAAATAACAAGAGAATTAGGGGAGAGAGATGAATAGGGAAAGAGAACATATTCAGTGCCTCATCCAATCAGCTGAGATGTCACTTACCACTCTGGAATGAACTATATAAAAAGCACAAAACATTAATGGATGACTCAGCTAACTGCAGTACTGGCATGTTATTATTGATCAAGGTCAAGAACAAGGAAGTATAAAAAAACAAGACAATGTACCACTATTTATATATTGACCATGTTAGTGACAAAGGTACTCAAGCTCACAAAGATGTTGCTTGTGACTAATAACAAAAAGTGGAAGAGAGAAAGTCCAAGAAATTAAGACGTAAATGCCTTTCCTTTTCCATGCTTCATGAAATTATGTCCAATCATACAGATTTCACGACCCTCCTGGAAAAGCAGGAAGTGGTACAGGGGGCTACTAGGAAAGGGCTCCTTTGTTCTATGAAGCCTATGTAGGTAGGCTGTATCATGAGAGAGAAAAGACTCGCTAGAAAAAAAGAAATATATTAAGGCTAGGAAAAGTTGAAGACACTAGGAAAAGGAGAAGATCTAACAAGAGTTGGAATGAATCAGTAAGAGAGTCATGGTCTTTAATCTGTAAGACCTGAACAGGGCTGTTAAAGGACCTTTTAGAGGTTACTAATTCTCATGATATCAAATTTTAGGGGCAGTCCAGAATGGCCACTTTGGATGTGGGTTGGATTGGGCTACAAAGAGTCTGGTGAGATTGAGGGGGAAGGGGAAAGCAATATGCCATTTGGCCTGATCCTCCTTCCAAACAGCAACCCTTGTAGCCCAATAAGCAATAAAAGCAGAAATAACAAATAAGGGGGGAAAGAGAAAAGAGGAAAGAATAGGAATGGGGAGGAAAGGGGGTCTATAACAGAAATAAGAAGTATGAAGAGAGCGAAGAGGATGCTGTTCAGACGGGTAAGGAAATGAAAATGGAAATTGACAAGAGTGAAAAGGGTGAAAGAGCAGCTAGGATAAGTCTCTGAAAATGTATTTTGGGCATGGAGAGGTGATCACATAGTTTCCCAATGCAAAAGCCTCCAGACCTTAACTGAGGCCTGATTCTTAATGTCTGAGGTCTTTCACAAGTTCTCAAAACAATTTTTTGATAAAATTTTAAAAGACCATACTTATTCCAAACAGAGATAGGAACAGGCATGAGGGCATAACACATAGCGAGTTTTGGTCTCACTTGGAAAGTCACAACTTCTCATAACTTCCTGCAGTACTTGAATTTATTTACCAATCTAGAAGTTGAAGCTGAGTTTAGATATAGTTTAGCACTTCAGCAAACAAACAAATCCACTGCTCCACATGATCCCTCCAAAGGAAACCCCCACTCACCTAGTGATTTAAGAGCTTAAAGTTCACTTTGTTTTTCTTTCCCCTTTAAAAACTGCTTCTAATATTTTCCACTAGCAACTAGCAACTTGACTGACAGGGTAGATAAGAATTAGTAACTGTCTCTACCAGTCTTTTAGTCTTCTTAAGCCATTCACCTACAGTTTCCTTAACAAAGAAATATGCATGGCAAATATACTAGTAGAAGAAAGCAGACAACAGATCTATGCCCTTTTAGCCTTATGAAGTCTTCTTGGTTTTGGTTTTTGAATTGTTGTTTTTTAAACGTGATGTATGTCTGTGCTTCACAATGAACTGCTATGAGCAGCAATTTTTTCACTTTGCTTTTCAACAGATAAGAAGTGTGATGAACCACTCTGGTGTGCCTTGAGGTTTCTTGCTTCCTTTCATAGCCTGTCTTAATATTCTGGTGGATATGTTATAGTGTAAAAGTTGGATGATCTGACAAATGGATCTTCTACAAAATACACATATAAGCAACTTACCACTGGAAGTGTAAGCCAGGTAGCCACAACACGATCAGTGATCCAACGATACCAAGCCGGGGAGATAAACATCAGTGGCAGCAAGGGACCAAGCATAAAAATGCTTCCAAAGAAGCTTCCCAAGAACAGTGCAAGTACAAAGTAAATCCCTTTCCATGACAGCATGGCTCTGGAAGAAAATGGAGGAGATGTATACATGAAAAATTCTTACACAGACTTTCTATCAATTTGGCTCCATTCAGTTATCCTTCTGTCTAGGCAGTATACTATCTTTGTATTATCTACCAAACAGAAGAAGTGTAATGGTCTCCTCACAAACTGCAGGCAGAAAGCAATCATATGTAGCCACTGTTATTTACAAATATACTGTACTGGTGAAATGAAATAGACATTGACTCTTTAAATAATGAACTTCATAGGAAGAAAGCAACCCTGTAAAATTACAGTAGGCTAGGAACAAGTGTATTTAAAACATTTCCATTTCACCGCTACACAATATATTTCATTCTATACTATACAGTGGTGCCTCGCTTGACGTTAATTTGTTCCAGCAAAATTGCAGTAGAGCGAAAGCATCGTCAAACGAAACAAAAAAGCCCGTTGAAAACCCTTCATTTTGTGCTTGTTTTGTGAAGATCCTCCATACGGCGGACACCGTCAAACGAAACAAAAAAGCCCATTGAAAACCCTTTGTTTTGTGCTCGTTTTGTGAAGATCCTCCATACGGCGGCCACTTTCGGTACCTGTAGAGCGAGGAATCCGTCCCTAGAAAACAGCGGGGGCCATTTTGAAGCCGCCGATCAGCTGTTCAAAAAACATCATTTTGTGAAGAATCGGTTCCCGAAGCATGGAACCGATCATCACAAAGGGAAACCCCCCCCCATTTAAAACATCGTTTTGCGATCACTTTTGCGATCGCAAAAACCTCATCGTAAAGTGATTTCCTCGTTAAGTGAGGCAATCGTTAAGCGGGACACGACTGTAATGTTTATAAGGCCGATCAGCTGTTCAAAAAACATCATTTTGTGAAGAATCGGTTCCCGAAGCATGGAACCGATCATCACAAAGGGAAACCCCCCCCCATTTAAAACATCGTTTTGCGATCACTTTTGCGATCGCAAAAACCTCATCGTAAAGTGATTTCCTCGTTAAGTGAGGCAATCGTTAAGCGGGGCACAACTGTAATGTTTATAAGGATACTTCATGAAAACTAGTCTTCATATGAGGGAAATATTACCTTCACCTGTTGTTTATTCTCTGCCATTAAGTCACCTACAACTTCTGAAGACCCTATGAATGAGGGACCTCCAAAATGTACTGTCATTAATAGCCCTCAGCTCTTGCAAATTTAATACTGTGGTTTCCTTTACAGAGTCAAACTATCTCATACTCCATCTTTCTTTTTTCCTGCTGCTTTCAACCTTTCCTAACATTTTTGTCTGTTCCACCAAGTTACCTCCTTCATTCTATATCAGCTAAGTTCACGAAATATCATTCTATACCAGGACTTTTCCATGACAGCAGTGTTCAATGGTTTCCCTGTCTTTGTCTGCTCCCATAGACAATTCTTAAAGATTAAAATGCCTCCTTTGGCCCTCCAACTGTTTTTGGATTACATATCACAGCATTCATTTCCACTTATTCTGCTGGGCAGGGCAACATAACTTCTGGAGGGCTGCCCTTTGCTCCCCCCCCCCCGGTTCTACAGAGAATTGTCTTCAATATGTACAGTACTTGCAATTTTCAAGTAATCAAGAATTCTGCAGCCTTGTTCAACACACTACCTTCTAAATCAAACTCATGTTAATATTTAAAGACCCCAACTTTAAATGTGATAATAAACACACTTTCACTAATTTTATGTTTGTATTTTCAATCTGGAAGAACCTGAAAGAACCTTGGGACCAAAAGGTGAGGTGGAAAATTTTGAAAAATGATTCAGTGCGTGTGAAGGCCAAGATGCTTCCATACAAGACTGATAACTAATTGGGTGGGCCTTGGTTTAGATCTCGCCTGGCAGAGGTATAGAGAAGAGCCTTCTTCCAAAGAACATTAGAACTGGATCAAAAATCAGTCTAACAGAAGGAACAGATCGCTTTGAATGCACAGGCAAGTACTTTGAAATGGCAACTCCAGCTAAGCTGCAAAAGGACAGCATTTTGAAAACAGAGGTCTGATCAGAGCCACCCTTTCAAGGCACATCCCTTCCAGGTTGCTTGTGGAAGGAGAAATGGAGAGATTTTGTCTACTACCACTGAATTTCCCCTGACAAATACAGCTGGCAAAGAGAAAGGTTCTCTATCCTTGGCTTAGAAGTCCTCTTTTTGGATCCTTCTTTGGAAAACCATTTCTTTTTGTCTATGTCCTAAAATACTGATTAGTATGCTTTCCAGAACTCGATAAAGGGTTTTTTTTTACATTCCTTTTTTTATTGCCTACCTGTTTTGATGTTATTTGTTGGTGTTGTGCATTGTATTGTTTTGTATGCTATAATACTCTTGTGTGTTGTTTCGCCCAAAGATGGAATTTAAAATTCATTATCTTTATCTAAAAATCAAGATCTCTCTTTCTAAAATGTGTTTCTATTGCTACAGTCTTGGTCCTTCTTAGAATATAAACTGGCAATTGGAAATGGGACAGATAACCATGTTCTTGCATGTGGCAGGTGGGGGGGGGAGACAGTGACTTTTAGTCCATGGACATCCAATTTCTTAGACCTAACCTACTATCCACAGAATAGATCACATTGCCTGACCTGGAAACCTCCACCAGTGCTGAATCCACTGTTCTCCAACACGAACGCCACATATGACCTCAGCATACTGTCTTCTTTGATCTTAATTTGATTTCTCACAGATCATATGTATTGGTTTTCTTAATAAAGAGATCTAAAACTTACTGAATTACACATAAAATTATTTTGCAAAAGCAAGCTGGCCTCAGCCTAACAGAAATTTGAGAGGGACTTCATATAAATTGATCACTCCATCTGTGACTATTTTAAGATTTCCTCACCTTCTGCTACAAAAACATGTCACTGATCAAAATGGTTCTTGTAGCAAAATTCAAAATTAATTTAATATATGGCCAACCTCTATGAAATACCAGTGTGAACTTATATTAGAATCACTATTTCCAATCAAGACTATAATTTAGGTATGATGTTAAACGAGCCAAATACATCAAGGAGTTTTGCTGGCTAAATGTGGAACAAACCCAGAAGTTGCTATCACTGGCAAAAAAGTTTCCATCTTAGTAGGCACCTTACTATCATTAAAGAAATTTGGAAACATTAATTTTCCAAATTAGAATCTACAAATAGTCTGTTTTCCATCATTTAGAATAAAACTGACTGTTTGCAAGATGTGAGGCATAGGCTGTTCTTTGAAAGGTTCCCTAAAAGGCTGGTTAAAAAATACATTAAAAATTCACAGAAGACAGACAGGAAACTGGTGTTTTCAATTTCAGGGGGGGAAATAGCAGTGGAAAAGCAATCCATTACATTAAGCCATTGGAACCCATATACTTTTAAGTTCCATTAAACAAAGAGATAGTCTCAGCTCTCTCCAACATTACCTGTAGAAAATAAAGAAGATATAAATACAATCAAACTGCATTAGAACTAAATTATCTGAGAAATAATCTCTGTATAACATGCAGAGCGCTCATTGGAAGGACAGATCCTGAAGCTGAGGCTCCAATACTTTGGCCATCTCATGAGAAGAGAAGACTCCCTGGAAAAGACCCTGATGTTGGGAAAGTGTGGAGGCAAGAGGAGAAGGGAACGACAGAGGATGAGATAGCGGACAGTGTCATCGAAGCTACCCACATGAATTTGACCAAACTCCGGGAGGAAGTGGAAAACATGATGGCCTGCCGTGCTCTGGTCCATGGGGTCACGAAGAGTCGGACACAACTTAATTACTAAACAACAACAACAACAACATGCAAACAATATCTGAATGTATAGAGTTCTGTATTGCGTAGAACTGTAAAGTACACAAAGAGAAATGTGGCTGTTTTGTGCTTTATATATAATTCTGTGATACACAGCTGTTTACAGACTCATACTCAGAGAGTGTTTATCAATGGCTCCTCTCAGAGTGGGAGGTGGTAACAAGTGGGGTACCACAAGGCTCAGTCATGGGCCCAGTGCACTTCAACAGTTTTATTTATGACTTGGACGAAGTGATATAGGGAATGCTTATCAAATTTGCAATTGACACAATATTAGGTGGAATAGCTAAAGCAATGGAAGACAGAAATAAAATCAAAAAAGATCTCAATAGGCTCAAATACTGGGCTGAAAACAACCAAATGGAATTTAACAGGGATAAGTACAAAATTCTACAGTTAAGGAAAAAGAAGCCAAATGCACAGTTACAAAATAAGGGATATTTGGATTAGCAATACCACAACTGAGGAGAATCTTGATGTTGTTGTAGATAAATATGAGCCACTGTGTACTGAGAATGCAAAAAAGGAAAATGCTATTTTAGACTACATTAACAGAAGCAAGGTCTCCAGATCCCATGAAGTAGTAGTTCTCCTCAATTCAGTACTGCTTAGGCCTCACCTTGAATACTGTGGCTGCACTTTAAGAAGGATGCAGACATAGTGGAACAGGTTTAGAAGAGGGAAACAAGGATGACCAGGGCACTGGAAACAAGGCCTATGCAGAAAACTGAAAGAACTGGGCATATTTAGCCTTGAGAAAAGAAGACTAAAGGGATATATGATCATAATTTTCAAATACCTGAAAGTACACACAAAGTACTTGAAAAGTTGTCATATAGAAGAGGGGCAGGATCTGCTCTTGATCATTCCAGAGTGCAGGACATGTAAGAATGGGCTCAGGTTACAGGAGGGCAGATTTCAGTTGAATATCAGGAAAAACATTAGGCAAAATCCAAACAAACAAACAAAAACAAAAACAAGAAAAAACATATTTTAATGTGAGCTTTCATGGACAAGTCCACTTCGTCATACATATGGAAAAAATGAAATACTGGATGAAGTAAAATATTAGTTGGCTCTAAAAGTCTTGGTTGTGTGGCTACATCTCACATTCAGTAATTTATGGCCTATGTTTAGTGTTAAGTTCTATTGTAACTATTCTCACAGCAGACAGAAAATAGATAACCTTGTTTTGTTTCTTTGGATTTTGCC